TGGCGATACCTGACTGTAAGTGTGGCGATACCTGACTGTAAGTGTGACGATACCTGACTGTAAGTGTGGTGATACCTGACTGTGTGGCGATACCTGACTGTAAGTGTGGCGATACCTGACTGTGTGGCGATACCTGACTGTAAGTGTGACGATACCTGACTGTAAGTGTGGTGATACCTGATGATACCTGACTGTAAGTGTGGTGACATTTGATGCTGCTCATTAATATATTCCAAGATAATAATGGTCAGTCAATACTACAACATTTCACTTGCGTAAGGGCCTACAGGTTTGACTGATAAGAAAAGCACGTGGGGTTTGTTCGGCTAGTCTAATGCAGCTGTAGTATTTAAAAGGTCTATGTCCTGTCGCGATATAAACTGAAAGAACTGGTTAAATTAAATCTTTGTAACCTTTTTTTTTTGCTTTGGGCATAGAAGTCACACGATGAGATGTTTAACCTCATGATAATAAAACTAAAGGGAATAAAACTAAATAAACTCATGATCATAAAACTAAAGAGAATAAAACTATATGAATTTAACCAATGAAACCGCAGACAAGATTTTTTATTACATTTTAAAATTAATTTAGCTGGGAATTTTTTTTTCTGACACTAAACCTGGTAAAGAAGTATCCATAGGCATTGGTCAACACTAAGCCTGATGAAGTAGTATCCAGAGGCATTGGTCAACAGTAAACCTGATAAAGAAGTATCCAAAGACATTGGTCAACACCAAGCCTGATAAAGAAGTATCCAGAGACATTGGTCAACACTAAGCCTGATAAAGAAGTATCCAGAGACATTGGTCAACACCAAGCCTGATAAAGAAGTATCCAGAGACATTGGTCAACACTAAGCCTGATAAAGAAGTATCCAGAGACATTGGTCAACAGTAAACCTGATAAAGAAGTATCCAGAGACATTGGTCAACACTAAGCCTGATAAAGAAGTATCCAGAGACATTGGTCAACACTAAGCCTGATAAAGAAGTATCCAGAGACATTGGTCAACACTAAGCCTGATAAAGAAGTATCCAGAGACATTGGTCAACAGTAAGCCTGATAAAGAAGTATCCAGAGACATTGGTCAACAGTAAGCCTGATAAAGAAGTATCCAGAGACATTGGTCAACACTAAGCCTGATAAAGAAGTATCCAGAGACATTGGTCAACACTAAGCCTGATAAAGAAGTATCAAGAGACATTGGTCAACCTCGTATTTTTTTTCATTAAAAGTACAGACACACAAATAAATGAGAAGTAACGTGTCTTGGGAGTTCGCCCCCTGGTGGATCACCTGCTAAAGTTCGGAGCTCAATCCCTGCGGTAGACACAGCCCAAGGAGCCCGCTATGCAGCTTTGATTGTTTGTTAAGCACAGTGGGTTCTCTGTGCTCTACCCATGCCTGCAGATTTACTGCTGGGCCACCTGGCGGCTTTCAGCTTTGTACTTAAAAATAAACAAACAAACAATTTACGTTCAAGTATCTTTTAACGACCGAAAACGCTACGAATATTATTAATTTTCCTCCTCTTCAAACACACGTGCTTTGGATTGCTTGTAAAGTCGACTGGTCAATGAACAAGTGAATTTTTTGTTAAGATTCGGACGTAAGGACAATTCGAATAATGTGCTTCATCGCAAAAGGAAAAACAAAAAGCATAAAAAGAACATACAAGTATTTTAACGCTATTCTGCATTTCAACAGGCTGGTATATATAACGGGTTTTATCTTTGAATTATACATCAATTATTGTAATTTACTAACGGTTTATAGTTCTCGTGTCTTTGTTAGAAACGTGCTCCTAATTAACAACTATATGTGTACATTTTTGTTAGTACGAACACTCCCGGTAACCTACAGTTTAACCTGTCTTCCCTAAACACTGCTTTCGACATTTTTTTTGTGTTATGACCAGAACTAAATACTAAGTACGAATGATCCACTCCTAATATTTATTTGATATAAAAAGCTATCTGTTTCAGTATAATGTACTTATAACAAAGTTAAAAGTTATCTTTTGTTACCCCCCCCCCCAGTGGCACAGCGATATGCCTGCAGACGTACAACGCTAGAAACAGGGTTTCGATACCCGTGGTGGGCAGAACACAGATAGCCCATTGTGTAGCTTTGTGCTTACCTTCAAACAAACAACAATATATTTCGTTTGTTACGTCGCGCTATCTCTCGGAAATATTTGAAACTAATAAACTCTTCAGCAAGAGTTTTGAACAACTTCACCACTTCCACTAAAAGTAGGGTAACTAGGGTATAGCTGAGACAGGTATTAAATTAGGGTAACTAGGGTATAGCTGAGACAGGTATTAAATTAGGGTAACTAGGGTACAGCTGAGACAGGTATTAAATTTGGGTA